GCTGTGTTAGGTTCGCAAGGCATTGTGGTAAAATGTACAGCCGCCATCTTTTTTCCTACGGTGGATTACCAACGAGCTTATCAACAACATCGGCATAGCGTGGGGGACAGAGAGAGATTAGGGCGAGTGAAACTAACAATTACAAACATGTCATCAAAATCGTAGTTATAAATGGGACGATTATAACATCAGCCAGGCAAATAGAGACAATCTTGTAAGCATATATACACTTTAATAATACCATGGAGCGAAGTAACTTCTGTATGGAGCGAAGTAACTCTTGTATGGAGCGAAGTGACTTTTGGTTGGGGCGAAATGACTGGGGGCGAAATGACCAGGGGGCGAAATGACCGAATACCCCGCAGTCTGACCGCAACCCTACGATTCTGGACCGTGTAAATCAACACAAACGTTGCCTGTTCCGTCGGTATGCGAGACGACGTGCTTTTTTTACCAAAACTAGGACAATTATTCTGTTTACGAACACGGCTTTGATTCGCCTTGGCTTTGGGGAAACAGCTATTAAGCATTTTGACTTCCGAAACAATGAATGTTGGTGTACGTACCAAAGTAATCTGTGGCTGGTTTACAAAACACGCCAGCTATCTTTCGTACATGTGCTCAACTAATTCAACCAATAATGGCAACTTAGTTTATCTGTTTTGACTTTTCGCCTCCATGGCGAAGATAACGTGTATTTTCTGCACGAGGTTTTTCATTGGCTCGTTGTGTTCACGTTGTCCATTGCTATTTTCTTGGTTTTGATGTAATTAGATTTTTGTTGCCATGCTTGCAGTTGATTCCAGGATCCCGAAGCGGGTTCAAATTAAGACAAGAGGACGGCACGTTGGTGCTGAAGATGTGGCCCCTTCCAGGAAGCGAAAAGCAAGGAATCAGCCTGCCCATCTGCCGAGAAAATTAAGAAGAAAAGCTACGCCAAAGAGCCAGAAGTCTAACGATTCCGCTAAAAGAAAAGGGAAAATGACAAAAGGCGATCAGCGGTTAGAAAGGAAAGACGAAGACTCGTCAGCAGTCTCTGAGAGCGAAACATCAAGTTCTGATAAGTCAAAGAAAGCGGAAAAATATTATCCCTTCAGAATTTTGGATCAAACCTTGACAGACGTGGGGCCAGACATTCCATTTTTGGGCTTGTCTAAGCCAAGCTTACACGAGGACACTCTTCCCACACTTTGCAGTCGGGGACTTTCGGACGTCAAGGTCGTACCGAGAGCCGATCGGCAGGGCTTCGTGGAAACCGAAGGCCACTGGAGGCTTATGATCGCGGGACTAAATCGGCGTGCTATTATAAACGCCATATTTATACCCCAGACCCCTGAGAGAGGGGAAGGCCCCAGCGAGGAACCAACAGCCGGGGTTTTCCTTTCCGCTCTGGCAACAGGGGTATTTTCAAACCGTTATCCGGTTGATACGCTTTTGAATCACGCCAGTGAAGAGTTGAAAGGACGAAGAACTGTTTTTGTGTTGGATGTGTACAGCCACGGGAATGACAAAGTGGAAGTTATTATCAACAGGGCGTACTAACCTGAAACACTGTTCACATGTAGATAAATTGCCATTGATATCATCGAGCCGGGTAGTTATGACTTGTCTCTGGTCTGAAAGGGTGCCCCAGCTATCGGCTTGGAATGTTTTAACCCTAAAGAGGGTTTGAACCTCTCTGAATAGCCGTGACTTAAATCAAGCCAAAATGTCACGCGTGACATCACGCCTGTCAAGGAATACCTTATAGACAAACACCTGCCGACAACGACAGCGCAAAATCGGGGCTAGATTCAGGGCAAACTGTCGAGAGAAGCACCAACAACGGTAGGAAAGTGCAGTAAAACGAGAAGATTGGGCCTTATAAGCAACACAAAAGTGAAACTGCCAGGCAAAATTTCAGAGGAAAAAATGGAATCTACATAAAACTGGCGACTGAAATCGTAGTAACTAAGTTTTGATCTGGTCAGGGGAAATTAGAAGTTCGTCACTTTAGCTGCCTTTAAGGCTTATTTGCCAAAATCTTACATCGAGCAGATACGAATCACCTCTAAGAAGAAACTGTTCCATACAAACTGGGTTTTATCTGGCCACGGAACTTTTACCTTACGTTCGAATCGAGCTATGAACTTTATAAATATTTTCCGTGCCTACTTTTAGAGACACGGTAGGGATATTTTTAACAAGTTCCACTTAATAATTTTACGCTGTACATACTTTCAGGAAAATTATACACATACGGCAGTCGTGTAAGCATTTATTTAACAAATTAGTTTTATTGTTCTTCGAAATACTTTATGCTGTATCGAAATTTTAGAGTGCACGGTTGACGGAGAGTATTAAAGCCAATGTTTAAATGGGCGTGTCCTCGTTTACTTTACAACGAACTTTATTTAAACAATGGAGTGTTTCTGTCGAGGAACTATCGGCTGATAGTTGCCCTGAGGAAATTTGATGTTCTTAAAACAAATATTTGCCTGAGAAGCGAAGCTTCGAGGTCAAGTATGCTAGTTTTAAGAACATCAAATTTCCAAGGGGCAACTATCAGACCGATAGTTCCGAGACAGAAACACTTTATTGTCTTTATTGTTCGCCATTAAATTTTCTTCCGCGCGCCAATTCAAAAATCATATTAAATTATTTTCAACTTTTTGAGATGCTAGCCGTAAGAGCCAAATGTAAAATTTGAAAAAGACAACAGACAAAAACCCACCAAAAACAATTTCAATTGTTTACTTTCTGCAAGCCCGCTTGTTTACAGAAAAATTTTCACGGACGAGTACTATCCATCTGGGTATTTTCCGCGGACGGGCACTATGGGCTGATAATGTCTCTCCGCGGACGAACACTCGCGTCACGTGGTCAATTTAAGCCAATCAGAATCGGAGAAAATTTAGTGGTGAACTGTAGTTAACTATCACCTCATAGAAATTGAGAACGAATAATCTAATTGTTTTAGTAGAATTCTTACGAAAATTTACTTCAAATAACGGTTTCCAATTACTTGGCATATAATTAAACTTTGCGCCTGAAAAAGATCGCTCGGATTGAATTGTCATTTAAAATTGAAGTTGTGTGCGCGCGTGCATCAGTTTTTTTCAATAATTTTAACTTTTTTAAAAGTGAAGAAACCGTAAATGTCCTTCTTTTAGACTTCTCAGGAATTTAATTATCCATTTGCATCAAAATTTCCCTTCAAAACTTTGGAAAAACAAAAAAAAAAGTCGCCATTTCCTAGACGACCTCCAACCACTGCACACTAATGGCTGATACTGTTCAATGGCTCAGCCAATCATATTTCAGCGTTTGCATTAGTATACTAGTAGAATTCTACTAATTACGGTTATAGTTCAGGTTATAGGTTTTAACTGATCACGTGACGCGATAGTGTTCATCGGTGGAGAGACAAATTACCCGGATGGATAGTTCTCTTCCGTGAAGAAGAGATGTTTCTGTAAACAAGCGGGCTTAGAAAAAAAATTGAAAGACGCAATTTCTCTGTTTTACATCTGGCTTCCACGCCTTTCATCTAGAAAAGTTGAAAATAGCTCTATGATTTTTGAACTGGCGTGCGGAAGAAAATTTAGTGGTGAACAATAGTGATAATAGAGTGTTTTTATGTCTCGGAACAATCGGTCTGATATTT